GATGTCAATTTCTCACATTTCTATCTTAGGAATTAAGAAAAATTCTAAGATTTCAGAATATCAGCTGCTATTTAATTCCCAAGAAGATAAAGTAAATAAAACCAAAAAAGGAAAATGGAGGTTCAGCTTGAGGGAAGACGTTTTGCGTTAGGGTTAGAAACAGAAGAATCTTTAAATTAAACCATAATGTTTGCTTATGTTCTTTGACCTTAAAGAACATTCCTGTTTCTAAAATATCCTAAAGCTCTGAAGTTATTTTATGTTGTCTTAGAGTTACTAAAGTAGTTATAAAGGAACTTTAAAAAGATTAAAACATGATGACTAAGAGCGATTTAAATAAAACGGTTTATCATTATTTTCCACCTAAAGGTTAAATCTCAACCTAATTTTATTTATAGTTTTATTTACACACAGATACACACATGTATAGTTGCCAAGGCAACTGTGCTCTCATCAGATTACTCTTCTCCTCCTCCTTGGTAAAAAAGGACGACTGACATTACGCTGACATGTCAACACAATGTTTTCACCTTGGAAAACAAGACCTTTATAGCTGTGAAGTAGAGAAGAAGTAATAATCTGTATACAGGGATCAGACTAAGATAAAGATGCAAAGGAAGAAAACATATCCATAAGGAACTCGGTGAAAAGGTCATTCTTATCTTAGAGTGGGGAATATGGTTTTGGGGCAGATAAATGAAGCAGACAATGAAGAAGTGGAGACAGGGGCATGTCGAGAGAGGAAGCAACAGGTTTACCACAAAACGAAGTGAGAAAAATGCTGCAAGTATGAACACATTCTCAAATTATTCATCAGGACAAGAAAAAAAACATTTTGTCCAAATCCATAATTTTGAGCTGTTTTTTTAATGCAAAGAAGTGTATAGCAACACACTTTGTCGTCACTTTTACTCTTTTTTTTTCAAAAGCTTGAGGGAATGTTTTTCAATAAATCCTCCTGAGTATTACCCATAAGCACCGCAGCAGCAGTCTGTCCTGTTCCCTCAGGCAGACTGAGGCTGGAAGAGTTGCACATTCAAGTTGGTGATCATCCCCAATTATGTGAGTTTATGTGTGAGTGGGCTGAGACGAGAGACTGAGAAAATGTTACTATGGTGACCAGACACATCAGGTCTTAGTCTCCTCAAAAGAGTGACTTAACTTTCTCTAATAAAGACCATGTATCATCTGGGCCTCATCAGTACTTATAACACATCAAAAATATATTTAACAACCAACTTCTCCCTCTGCTCATGAATCAGAACACTGACTTCAATGTAGGATTAGTTTAACCTTATAAATTTAAATTATAAATTTATGTCAACGTGTAAAGCCATTTCTGTGACAGTTTGTGTAGTTAGGCCAAGCACAACTGGGATAACACTGAAACATGCATCAGAAAACAACAATTAATTTAGGTACAAAGTGAAATGACATTTAATAGTTAATTCAACTGATTAATATCTAACATGTTTTTCGAAATATATGAATGTCATGTGCGATGACATTGGTTAATTAAAAATAATAAATATCACTAATAATAATAAAACGGCATACAACCACAGGAAATACTGGAAACACGAAACAAAATATCAATTCAGTTAGACAAACTAACTGTTTATTTTATACAGTCCAACAATGACTCATGTCATGACTGATTATTTTTAATTTTATCTGCTGGACGTTGTATCCCTGATGGTATTGTACTGAAGTATTAACAACTGATGACAGGTCAGTACTGCGCATTGTCAGGGTATATTGTCAGTATATCCCTTAATATAAAGATGAACGACCTCAAGGTTAAACTTTGACAAAAACGTCCTCGTCAAAAATTCTTATTTACGTTGCAAAAAACACTGCAGTGACATTAATGTACACAATATGTCAGTAAAATCCGGATTTCTCCACACGTCAAAAACCCGGCTTCTATTGACGACAATTACATTGAGCGAAAAACGTACCTTATATTCTACTTCCGGTTACTTATATTCCGTTTCACAATGCCGTATAGTGTTAAACGATGGCCCATTATTTAAAAAATAAAGATATTTAGCTTTAATACCGCTTTGAACGACCCGTCTCCAAGCGTCACGACTTCGCTACGGGCGCCGCCATCTTGGATTGAATAAACTTTATTAAAATGCTGTGGGTTGACAGAGGGGGCGGTGTTTCTGCAGTTTACAGTATACATACATACCAAACACAAGTACATGTGTTATATTATATCATGAATTATATCATGTACACATTGTATTTCACAATGTATTAATTATTAGAAATATTAAAATGTAAAATAATTTGACAACATCATTGATACATACACAAAATGTAATTGATTTATTCATGAATACACAGATGAGATGCACAGATGAGATGCAAAATGACAGTAGTAACTGCAAAATGAACAGTAACCTGGGGGCGCTGTACGAGGCTGCCACCAGATGCACTGCCATCTTTTCTCATATAACTATAAATCAATAGTAATAATGACTGGTTTTCTGTCCAAATCCGTTGTGTAAAAAGCTTCAGAACAAGTTTTTCATGAATGTAATTCCTCCTGTCTGTTGACAATCAATAGTTGATCTGAGGTTCATTCAATGGTTGTTGCCAGAGAAAGAGAGTGACTATAGCTTCATTTACTTCATGTTCATCATGAAGCACATAGACACAGAGGAGGAGAGGGAGAAAGAGGCTGCATCTCCTCTGAGTCCTTTTTACTTCTTTGAACACGCTCCGTGACTCTCAGCTTTGATCAAATGTGCAGACAGAGCAATGAAAGATGATAGAAGTCAGAGTTGTGAGGAAAAGACCAAAGGAACGGCATGGTGTCGTTAGCAACAAACAGAACGAGATCCTCAGCCTGACGTCAGCAGAGTAACTTGGGCTGGATGTGGGCTGAATGTTATATATCAGCAGAACAGGATGTGGTAGAGAAGGAGCAATTGGATGGGGAAATGGGTTTTGAGACAGTTGGACCTCTACGTCTCTGCATAATGGATGATTTTAATACTGATTTCCTGATCATGACTCTGCAGGTTCTAGGGACTGGGCTGTGTCATTTCTCAAGGCCTTGTCCTATTAGTGGTTCCATAGTGTGGCGGTTAGCACGCCCGTCTCAGAGCCTGGGTTTGATTCCCAGAGGAACCACATGCTTGATATTAATTCTCTTCTGTCAGCTGCTTTTGTCTGCTAATTATGTAAATGTATTAGCATTTGGCAAAAATTGGTAGAAAATTTGGCAATTTGAAAATCAAGGTGACATATTTTTATATTTTACTTTTATATTTTATTTTAATAAAACCAACGGATTAGGCAGAGACAATGTTTATGTTTTACTGTGTAGTGTTGCCTGTCAGAGCTGTTGTTTTAAGGTGCAGATTGTTTGTGGTCACTGCTGAAGAACAAGCAGAAGAATAACAGCAACAAAGGCAGAACAGCGGTAAATTAGATCACAGCAGTGAGAGTTGTCAATAACCACTCTCTGTACAAAACAATGAAAACACACACATAATGGATGTAAATGGACTAGGAGCGGGTAATGGCCACTTTTCCTCGCCCGTCTCCATTTCAGTACCTTTCTTGTTTAAAGTCAATCAGAGCTTTCGCAGTCTGATGGATGTTGTTGTAACTAATATGGTTCATGGCACAATTGCAGATTCAATTTCTAAATAACCTGATTAAGTTGACATAACAGATATGTTGTTGATAAAGTTTGTAGGATTTATTAACATAAATAATAACCTTATTGTTTTTTTTCTCCCTGTGTGAGTGGGTTTCCTCCATGTACTCCAAAATTCGTCCCTCAGTCCAAAAACATGCAGTATTGGGTTAACTGGATGCTCTGAACTGCTCGTAGGTTTAACTGTGTGAGCGTGAATGTGTGTTTGTCCCAGTATGTGGGCCTGTTCAGTGTGTACTCCGTTCTTTACCTGATGTGGAGAAATGGCACAGAAAACGTTGAAGCTGTTGGGAGAGAACGCTCACTCTTTGGCAAAGTTAGTGCAGCACGTTTCAGATCTTTACTACATTCTACCTTCCAGCACCTTCTAATCTGAATCTCCCAAATGATCACACTTGAATATATGTATATTCATATGTATGTTTGCCTGGTTATGCAGAGACGTCTCTCGTCCCTACGCAGTGAAATAGCTCCAGTTTGCTCAGCCAAGAAAATCTGTGAGTAGGTTTCTCTACATAATGCACCAATGTACCTTTAAAAAGCCAGCACAGTGTACAGTCTTTATGCAGAATAGCATTCATATTGGTCAGTTGTACTGATGAATCACGACTCACTGTCAACTATAAAATTGAGAATTCTATTCATAAGGACCATATAAATGCTGTTGGATCATATTTGACTATTAACATTTCAATATAAGACTTTTTTTACTCAGCTGCATTTTAAGCACAGTTAATATATTAACTTAAATACATAAAAATAAAAGTGTTTGTATTGTCCTTTAACATGATCACAAATGCTGTTGGGGATAAAACAACAGGCATCACACTCGTAGAGCAGATGGCTGCTCCTTATCCTCGGGGAACGTCTGAGCGAGAAACATCAATATATTACTGACAATAGCAGCTGGAGTCGGTTCTGTGAAAGTCCCCCACTTTTTCCAGGTGCCAACTTTTTCCCATCTTTCCACCTTTTTAGACCTGACTCCAATTCAGAGAACGGTTTAATTTCTCAGTTTGATGGCGGTTTATTTTTGGTTGCATTAAAGTTGTGCAATATGGAGCCTGTCTCATAAACAGGCAGCTTCTGTTGTTGTTGTTTGTTCTTCTTCAATGAAATCACTTCTGAGAGAAACCCATCGTCCTCATTTTCCACCCACGTCCGCCTTCCCATTCCCTCCATGACAAACAACCCATTGTAATCACCCGCTCTCTCCATTTCTGGGAGGACAATTGCACTTTACCAGCAGAGAGGTAAGATGACAAACGACCACGCAGAGGTTTCCAAACAGCATTGTATTAGGTAGAAAGCAGACGAGGTGGAATGGAGGACTTGTCTTCATCTGTCCAAGGTGGCCTTTGGTGAAGGAATGAGTGATTCACAGTCTAAAGCCACCTTTGTAGGAACAGGGTCGTTGGTGCCACAGCGACACAGTCTCACACCAACGAGCAGCCGACCTGCAAGGAGGAAGTTGACAGGACTTTCCATGCCTCACACTCTGGTGCAGAGAAACTGATGAGTGTGATTTACTCTCATTTCCAGGGCCTATTTCATGTTGTACACTTAGCTATTCAGAGTGGAAAAGGGGCCTCAGAAAGAAACAATGTACAGAGGGAAATTGTCTGAATTGAAAAATGCTGATTCCGCTTCACACGACATTCTACAGAACAAACCTCCAAGGATATCTTTTTTCACACCTACAAATAATGTAACCAATTAGTCCACAACTGCACTGTGCTGCTGGTCCCGGTCAAACCAGCTGTCAGTAGAGCTCAGGTGGCAATGTGATTAAGACTCATTCAACCAATCCTGATGAATCCTCCTGCACAAATTTATTAAAAGCATGTGCTCGGAAGCATTTTAATTTGCTCACAGTTAAAGGTTAACAATCAGAACGAGAGACAGTCCTCACGGTAAAGGTGTTATTACCTGGCTGTCAACTAAACGAGGAAAGCCAATATTTGGATGAAGAATAAGGCTCTGAGTGGTTTTGGACTTTTAAGGCTAGACCTGTTCACTCCGATGTATCTCAGGGACAGGTGGCTGTTGTTTCCTACTTCAGCTTTAGATAATTAATCTTATTTAGTTACAAAGTCTAGTCTAATGAGGTTTGCTTGTTCTGGAATCCTGGGTTAGTGGAAACAACACCAGTCAATTAGTAACTGTTCAGAACAACATCTTGATAAGCTTAATGTTTAGTAAGGGATTGTTATTCAACTACAACAAAAGAAAAAAATTATGATAAAATTAATATTGTTTGGTGAAATCTTTGATTTTAAATGGAATACAATCCAACTTCCACATCTGTTTGGTCTTCTGCATCTGCAGCATTCTACATCTTCTTCTATTTTTAAATAAAGTCTTGGTATTTGTGTTGTGTACGTAAATTATAATTTGATGGTCAAATGTAAAATAAACACGGAGACCACTGATGATAAACACCTGACATGTGTTCCCTTCATTGTGTGATGGACAGGATCTGGGGATCGTTTTGTCTCGGCTCCTTGTGGCCAACGTTGGATCCAATATTAAAGACATTATGGTCTGTTATGACTTTAATAATATTTCTCTTTGTCCCAGGAAATCAAATTTCCTCATGTTTTAATGGCCAGTACAGAATTCATTTTCCTTTCCATCGTGAGTCACCACAGAAGCAGTCATAGTGATGGCACCGTTTGTTATGCTGAATGTCCAGCTTGGGATTTGGTTCGTAGGATGATTGAACCGGGAATCGACTTTATGGCCAGTAAGGAACCTCACAATCAAGCTCTCCTTCCTCCATTTCAGCTGTCAATATATGAACAATTTTCAATTTATTTCTATTTGTTTTTTTTTTTTATCAAAAATTATTAAAATTATTTTGTTAGATATTTTGATGCTTATATTTAAAAAAAAGTATAAAATACATTTAATTCATTTTAATTAGATTAATTTAATAATTTTAATTTAATTTAATTTGAAATGTTTCTTTTTTTTAATCCCATAACTACTTACAATTAGTCTTAAATTACTTAACTTACAATCATAATAAAACACAGGATTTCACACTGAACCTGAAACTTAATAGATTAAATATCCATAAATGAACTGAACCACAGTAACATAACAAGTATATATACAAGATACCATATAACAGGTGCCATTTGATGAGATTTTTACTTCACACTCTTGAATGTACTACACATCTTACAGTCCTCTTGGGTGAAGAATAGCAAACACTGTAGGCATTCCTTCACTACTCCTCCTTCGCTCCCTTGCTTCTAGGAAACCTGTGTTTTGTTACTGTGGTGATTAGACCTTGCAGTGATTGCTGCTATGACAGGTCTGCTGGAGACAGACAGGGGATTCATCAGGCTCAGCTGCCAAAAAGGGAGCTTAAATACAGCACCAATGAGGATGCATGTATCCAATCCTCTACCTCTAATTAAGCGGGTTGTCTGTGAGACTCAGGCGAGGTCACTCTATTGGCGTGAGATCCAACTCGGAGTTAATGTGGTTCAGGCAGCAGCCTCTAACAGGTCCTCTTTTTGGTTTCCTGAATAAAGAGCCACATCTGGAGAAAATGAATGTTTTATACATCTTCTTTAGGCACAAGAGACTTTTATCTTAGTCCCATTTGCATTTTGTCACCCGAGCAATTTACATTTTTATAGCATAATTAATGAAGAAGAAAGTCATTTACATCTCCTTGCTCTGCTCACCAGTACATGGTCTAGAGAGCATATCTGACTCAAAGGGTGCAGCACTGGGAAATGTGTGGGAGTGTTTGTGAACACCAGAGAGAGCGACGGCTAAGTGTGCAGAAGGAGAAATAACTGCACGATTGTTTAAAAGTAAAGAGGCTGCAGAGAATTAACTGTCATATTTAAAAATGAGACAAGAGAGCCGGGGCTTTTAGGTGCAAATCGAGGGCAAAGATGCTTTCTCTCCAATTGGCCCTCACATCAAATACACGAAGGCAGGCCTTTACCACAAATTATACCATTTAAACAACACAGAAGAAAACAATCCATGCCTATTCATGCAGTGCATTACAGCTACCACAGATGAAAAGGAATAATTCATCGTCATGTTGCCTCTGGTCAATGACCAGATTCTGTCAATAGCTGATTATCTTTTCTAATGCATAATGTATATTTTGGAAAGAGAAGTTCACAGCATAATGGAGTCCTTATCATTAAAGCAAAGCCTGTGTTGAGACACTGGCAGATCAGAAGCAGGATACTCAGGAGGTTAAGAGTATAGAAATAATAGGGTTACTTATATATAATGGGAGATGCAATTTATGTTAAGGATGAAACTTGTGCTTTGATGTTGCTGGTAGAGAAGAAAGAAGGTCAAATTGTTGCTGCCCTGAGGCTGGTGATATAGAAAGAATAAAAGGGAAAGTGTGTTAGTATTTAAGGAAGTCCGGAGAGGCAGAGAAGTACACAAGGTGGTGCACAATGTGTATGTAGATGGACAGATGGAGTTGAGGTGTGCAGTCAGAATGGCAAATGGGTTCAGGAGGCATGTGAGGTTACATCGAGGGTATACTTTTTGTTTATGACTTTAACAATAAGATTTGACCTGTAAAATTTGTCAGACTTTTCCACCTGTAGTTAGCTCTCAAAAAATTATAGGTCTTGCTAGGGTTTATTATTATTATATTATTATATAATTATTATTATTTGAAAAGAGTGACAATTATATGGCATTAACTTAAGTTACTGTGTTTGCATTAAATCAAAGAACAATAGTTTTCATTTGGTGTTCCTGGGTAAAGCTTGGGTCTGAGCACAGTAGCAGTCCTACTGGTAATGGACGTCCAAATAAGATAATGAAAGATATCAATATTTAATTGAATGAATTCATAACGTCAGTTTCAATAATGCATCTGTTGATGTCAGTCAACTTTCAGAATAATGTTTGCTGCTTCACATTTGTTCTTCCGTTCATTTTGTCACCCAGAGAGACAGCGTTTCCTCTCAGCTCTGTGAAATGTGGTCAAAAACAAAGCAGGTGGTCACGAGCTGAAGTCCATATGTTCAAACTTTTATTAGGACTCTACATGTTTGGGATTAACTGCAACTGTGTTCCCAGCTGTATCTACAATCGCGCTTGCTGTTTGCGATAAAGACAGGGATCCATAGCATAATGATTGCAGGGGAGAGAGGGTGAGTCGGGGTGAGTCTGTCCTCTTCAGATATAGCAGCAGGTGATGCACTCTGTGTACAAACCCCCTGCTGTTCCCGTGCAGTGCAGGCACATGTTTATTGATGCGGTCGGATGCCCCTGAGCGCACAACTGAGAGAAACAACCTCCATACAAAATACTCTGTGAGCAGACGACAGATGAATAAACAGGGAACAATGGCTGTGGAAAACTGAAAAAGCGCTAGAAAAAGCATGCAAAATATTGACGTCTCTAACTGACTTGAAACTGGTGCTAAATAAAAGTCAGGGAACGAGAGCAGCTGTCAGTCTGTTGGAGAGGCTGTTGGCATCATTCCATCAACCTTGATTAGATAAGGGTTTCTGAGCTCAGGATTAACGTCATATCTTTTTGCACTGTGTCTCTAATGAAACATTGGTTTGAGATCAATGTCTAATGGCAACTGAAATCAAGTGTCACTTCTCTGGGCTTTGTGGCTACTCAGTACTGTTTTAGAAAAAAGAAAAAATCAAAAACAAATCAATGAAGCAGACTCAACTCGTCATACCATAGACTCCAGAACCTGTAATTTTGTTCTGTCAAACTGTCAAACTCCTGACCTAAAAACTTATTTAGACAGGATTTAGTTTTGAGCCCATTTTATATCTGTGAAATGAGTTTTTCACTTTGGCACATGTAGCATTATCATAGTTAAAAAAAAAAACATTATAAGATTGTAAATATTGCCTTAAGGAAATGGGTGCTGTCAGCAACAACATTCTTAGACGCTCTGTCATTCAAATAATAATTAATGTATATTTAGGACCACTAACAATTACCAATATATTGCCTAATCTTGAACATACTTTATGTCATTTTGGATGATTAATTTAAAAAAGAAATAACCCCTGTGTTGCCCTATAACCCTACCTACATCTTGAACTTCAAAAGATCAAGTGTTTCCACAAAAACTGTATTGTTATCGACAGCATAGCTCTGCTTGACCTCCACTAATTCCACTTCTACCTTCCACTAATTTTACCTGCTTCAAAAGAAACTCTCTTGACTACAAGTGGTTACGACCAGACCTAATTATATCCTCAATTCATGCTCCTGAACCAGTAACTTATTTTTTCAAGAATGACAGCAGCAGTCCTAAATTAAGTACAAACCACTAGTAGAACTAGGACACTATATCCACGACTGACACTGAGCAGAAGTCAGTCTCCTTCATCGAAAAAGACTGACGTGATCACTTGTTTTTAAGCAGTGATGATTGAAGGAGGTGTAGAGCTGGTCCGTCTGTCCCTGCGCTCTCAGGCTCTCCCCTCACCTCCCTGCTGTGTTTTGGAGCTCACACCTGAAGTGACAGAGGAGGAGAGAAACCACGAAGCTCTGATGAAGCTCTGCGCACGGAGCTGCTCAGCCACTCTCTCCTCCTGTGGTGCGACTGCACCGCACACTTGGACAACAAGTCACCAGGCGAACATCGAGGGAGAGGGAGTGCGCACGTGTGACAGGCTCTGAGGCTTCGTATTTATACCACTCGCTCAGAGCGCGGGATCTCTCCACCGGGATCTGCCTTCTTTTTTTTTTAAGAGAAAGAAAATCATTTTTTGAAACATCACACGCCTTCTGCGCCGCCAGCGGATCGTCACAGCACCATGCGAGCAGGAGAGACGCGCCCTGTGCCATGCTGCACCGCTCTCCGTCCCTGCTGCTGGCTATCACCGCTGTGGCCGCACTCCTCCAGCGATGCCAAGGCTGGAGCGACGAAGATCTTCTTCTGCCGCCCATCAACTCCTCCAACAGGTTCCTGGCCAACCTGGAGGTGGACGTGCGCTTCTCCAAGAGGTCCGTGGAGGAGAGCGATGCCTCAGCCGACGCCTCCTCCCTGCAGACTCCGTCCCAGTGCAACGTGAGCGTCCAGAGGCTGCTGCCCACCTCGCTGGTGGCCCGCTGGGACAGCAGCTTCGGCTTCCAGTGTGATGTGCTCATCTACACCACCAACAACCACGGAAGGGCTTTCTACTCCGCATCTTTCAACAGGGCCATCTCTCCCGTCGTCATCGAACACCTCGGGGTCACCGGTGGTCAGCAGGAGATGCGGCTGTGCGTTGGATGCGGGATGTCCCGCTTTCGCAGGTTTGGTCAGGCCAGGGCCAGGGGCCAGCAGACCGGGGACCAGGTCACTTTCTGCTGTGTGGATTTCAGCCTCGATGAGCTGAAGGGGGACAAAAGTTGGAGGCTGAACAGAAAGCCCATCGAGTCCACACTTGTGGCTTGTTTCATGACTTTGGTCATCATTGTGTGGAGTGTTGCTGCTCTCATATGGCCGGTCCCGATCATTGCAGGATTTCTGCCCAATGGGATGGAACAGAGGAGACCGAGATGACTTAAATAATATTTTATTTTAATTAGCCTGTGCTGCCTATACTATGATTGTAGCCATTCAACTGCCCACAGGAGAAGGTTTTGGAGAGTGAAATAAAGCCTCTTATTTTTGCTGTTTTTTAAAGGAGGATTCAATACATGGCTCTGTTGTTAAAGATTACAGTGCATTGTCTGCAGGAAAATCAACAAAACAACCTGATCCTGGCCCTGTTCTTTTCTGTGAGTCCAACACTGCAATATAAAGCAGATCCATCAAGGCAGAGTTTTATAGCTTTCTTTTGCCTCTTGCATGCATAAAGAACATGTTTCTTTAGGACACTACCATCTGTGATCAGTTCAGCAATTCTCCAAAGAGCAGCACAAATTGCATAGTACCCACATATCCATATGATAAAAGAGAAAATAAGAAACTTTGTCATCAGCGTGGTGAAATTGATCATGTCACACACTTGTCAATTTTATTTGGTCTTTTATCACTCAACAACACTTCACTCAGAGAAGAAGAGGTATGTGACGGCGTATGCTGTACTACACTACACAATTGTTTACTGTTCTTTTGCAGTGACGTTAAAAGCAATATTGATAAGAAATAGGTCTGTGCTGCATAGGACTTGTAATGATATTTTGAGGTTATTTTGAGGTTGAATAACAGTCTATAGGTTTGCCTTCAGTGGTTAGCTTTGTAACAGCCAGGCGTTGGTCAAAATGGATCGGTTCACCCAGTCAACATTAGACTGTATGCTCCCCTTTTTTTCCTGCTAACAGTACTCTGTGTCATCAAACAAGAGCAGTACATTTTAAAAACTACCACATTCCTCCTTTAATAAACATCCTTTTTGGATAACCAAGGTAATGAATGGAGACTTATACTAGCCAATATTATTCTATAGTGGGACCAATGTGTTTTATATAACCTTGTAAGCCTTCCTATAGATTACGTGCACACTCCTCTCTTTAAACTGTGTTTGTATAGTTTTTAATCTTTCTAGAAAGTCTTTGCCTTATCTGCCTTGTGTAGGACTTTTGCACTAAAAACTGAACTTTAAGATATGTTGTCACATGTGAGGTTAACCAACTATATTCATGTTAAGAATGTGTAATAGTTTTTTCGGTACCTTAAAATAATATAAGTGTTGTTTATGATTGACATATACAAAGTGTTAGATTTCTAATGTCATGTTTATTTGTGCCTATTTGTAGGTTATTCGTGTTAAAATAAAAATAAAATTGATTACAGGTTATATCTTAGTCATTCCCATGCGTTATATATCTAGTCTTAATTAATTGCAAGTTTATACCGTTATGTACAGTAACAAGTTTAAAGCCTCTGGAAACTCGTTCGTATGATGAAGTGCAAATATAAGTGACATCTGCACTGTTAATAATAATAATAATAATAATAATAATAATAATAATAATAATAATGCATACGTATTATTGTTGTTATTATTAGGAAAAAAGCTCACCCAATGTTGGCATAAATAAATCAATGATGAGTAAGACTAATTGAAACTTTCCCGCTGGTTTATCTCTCTGGCATGTAGACTCCAGGGTTGCCAGATCTCAAAGAGAAAAAAAATGAAGCAACAGACCTATCACAACGAACCAACTGAGGTGGGCGATGTGGGAGGGGAACAATCGATCCAAACAACGAAGGCGCCGAGTACTAGCCAATCAGAAGCAGAGTAGGTTAGTCCGACTTGGTCTTGTTGTTTAAAAAAATACTGGCTCAACAAGACGAAACAAATTGCAGTCATCCTGAAAAATTAACCACACATTCTAATCAACCCAAAAACGTGATACACTGGCATTAAAACATGGGAACAGCCCTTCATACCTGAGAATCAAAATGGCGTACATGGCCCCGCCCTGGTAAAACAGACCCCGCTACCTGTCAGGCTGGGCACGCCCTGGTCATCGCTGGTGTACTCACGTACGAGGAAGTGGGGGCGTTGGAGCTGGGGGTCCATTAGTATTTTAGTATAACAGGAAATGTTACGCAGGAGCATTTTTACTGTTAACCAGGAGCGGTGACATGTGGTTAAAACTTATAAATCTTCGACGTGAGACAGTCAGGGACAGCATGTCCATAGCCACTGTCTGTCTTCGCGTTTTATTTCTGACGAGCGTTTTCTGCACTTTACCAGGTAAGAGGGAAGTTTATTATTAACCACTATCATGAGACAGGTAGGTTTAGACCAAACTGTTTTAAACTGTTTACTTGAGACGTTATTGTTGCCATCTTTGTTGCGTGTAGATACAGTCTTGACGTGAGTTTTGAATTATTTCCGATTACATAATTATATAAAAACTACAGGTCGTCTGCTATAGTACTGTGAATAAGGCTCGTTTTATTGAATTGACGACTGTTGTTCATTTGTCGCGAGTGTTTGATTAGTTGGTTTGTCGGTAACTGGTAGAAAGTTGTCCGAAATGTGGCATTTCCAAATCTATAATAATAACATACAACAGTATTTTGTCCAGAAACTAAACATATTGAGCCTAGAATTTGTGTTTGAGAAACAAACTGAAATAATTATTTCACCGTTTATTTCTCTAAATAATGTTAATGTGGTTTAAAATATTAACAATATTACATTAGGAATACATACAAACATGTTGATATAATTAAAAGAATATTAAAAAGCAATAATACATATTTTCTAAATCAAATAGTATAAATGATATTCATCAGTAGTAGCTGTGTCCTTTAGATTTAGAAATTCTCACACAATAATCAGTGATCAGTGTTAAGGTCAAGTTCGGGGACCAGAGAGATGTGCTGAGGATGAGACATAGGGTGTTTAAAATGGAGCTTCAATACAGAATGAAAAGAGGAAGACCCCTGGAGTGATTCATGTACATACTGAAGCAGCCATGAAGGTAGTTTATGATTAGTTGAGGGTAATGATTAGATTCAAATGAAGGCAGATACTCAACTGTGGTGGAGGAGGAGGAAGAAGGTGTTTATAAGAAGGATGCGAGACCTTTATTAAACATGGCATTAAGACAATGGCATTGTTACAGTGACGGCAGGCAGAGTTGGAGTTAGAAGATCATGGCATGGTCCAAGACGCAAGGATGATACTCTCTTTTACGAAGCATTTTACAGTAGACAGTGAGTAAGTGTACTAGTTACAATAACTAAGAGGGAGATTAATCCAAACCATGCTTTATTATAATTCAAACTGATTTTCATGTTACCTCGTATATTAGAAATTCTACTTTTATTTTGTACATCCTATTGCCCCTAATATGCTTTTGTTATAAGACCATGTTATCATATAAACCTGCCACAATGCTCATGTAAATATCATGTAAAACATGTCACGGTTGATCTTCTCAGTGTCCTCACTGAGTCCTTGTTGTTATTCATGACACCACTGTATAATTAGCTGTTGGTTTTCTCACCCAAATCTAGAATAACACCTTTGTGGTGCAGCATGCCGTTTAGCTTATGTGTCACATGTCAGATGATATGCTCTCTCTCTCTCCCTCCCTATCTCTCTCTCTCCCTATATATAATAATACATGAAGAAATATGTTTTCACTTTTGTCATTGTGAAATTTGTCTTTTATGCAGGTGTCCAAACACTGACCATCACTCCTGACAAAGGCAGCACATTCAACATTAGCAATCGTCAGGTCAAAGGCTGCCAGGTCTGCAGTGGAACAGGCAATGCAAAGCTATGTGGTGCGTTTCTGTATATAAAAGACAACTCTCCCACTTCAGTTAACTTTGGCTGTTCCAGACCTCAGGATGTATTCACAGTGGAAATTAGCCGCACTATTGGTAAGAGTTGTACTGCCTCAGAGTGATATAAATCTATTTATATCATATAAATCTTTTTTGTAACATTGTTTAAATCTGCTTTTTCAGACTGCTCCACTAAGGCATGCAGTGGTCACATTATCCAGACCGACGCAGGATCAAATCCCTTCTTGGATTTTAAGCGCAAGTTTACCTGGATCCTAAAAGCTGAAGCACCAAAAGCTTTTAAAATCAGCTTCACTGGGACAGGTCTAAGACAGATTAATCCATCTGAGAGTTGTCCAGATAGACTGAGCTACACCCTCCAGGCCGCTCAGTCCACGGGAATAGTGACTGTTGGCAAATACTGTAGGACTGGTGCCATCAGGAGCGCTCAGATACTGAAATCGGGCAGCTTTTCTCTGGAGATACCAGCAGGGCAGAGGCTGCCGAGTGGCCAGTTTGATGTGTATGTGGGGGAGGAAATCAAATGTGAGTTTCTTCACGTAATCGTCTCAGGAAGAGTTTGAACCTTTTAAACTTTACTGTCAACTTATTCGGTTTTTAAATTCTTCTTCACAGCTCTTGCCAAAGTCACGCTGAGGTTACCTTCAGGAACATCAACCTCAGAACTGCTCTCTCCAAACTACCCTGACAGCTTTCCTGATGATGATGTCATGGAGTGGCATGTTGAGGTTCCAGATAAACACAAAACAACACTAAGGTTCTCAAACCTCACAGAGCCCAGTTGTCTGAAGAAGGAGACGGCAGTGGAGTACCACATCGCAGGCAGAGCAGCCCTGGTGCTGCGGCTGAGTGAACCCCAGCAGGAACAAATAATGGGGGACTTCACCATGATTCTAAGGAACTGTGAGATGGACAGAAGACGGCTTGGGTCTTCAGGACTTAAATTGAATGTGCAGGTGTCGACTTCGAGGACAGATGTACCAGGTTTGTACCTCACCTGCTGCAGTTTTTTTATTGGTTCTAAAACTGAGGAAACATTTTGTTTAAGCCTCAGTGTTTCAGGGAAATTCAGGGTTAGTACTTTTGTGCTGTTGTTCTGCTGCAAAGATACATATATTGTGACACTTTTGCTCCAGGCCTGTTCGTTTCTGATCCTGGTTTACATAACTTTCAGGTGTTTTTAGCAACAACAAAAAAATAGAAATAAACTGATCGCAACTTCAGGTGTTTTTAGCAACAACAAAAAATAGAAATAAACTGATCGCTACAGTAACTGCTGTGCAGATCATATGCTGCTTCATGTCTGCAGTCTGCAGAAATTGTGCTGAAGCTGTAGTTTATCAATAGTGTGAGAACCTAATGTAACAACTGGTAAAATACAATGATTGGTATTTGTTTCATAGAAATGTCAAATAAGTTAGAATCATTGAAGAAAGTTCTGTGTTGATGAATGATTGTTCCAACCAAAGCAGTTTAAAACTGGCTTTAATGTTATTGCG